CCCGCCACTGTGCCCGGCTTCAGGCTGATCCAATGCAACTCACGGTTCTGGCTGAGACGACAGTGGTGGCTCCACTTACACCAGGTTTTCCAGGGCTGGAGACCAAGCTGTGCTGTTCACACATGTTTATATTTCACCCCACACCAGGCTTCTGTAGAAACATTAAGTAGCTCGCCCAAGGCACCGCCACCCACAAGCAGCAGGTGTGGCATTTGAACCCAGACAGTCCTCGGTCCTGACCTTCCATTGGTTCAACAGGTCTTCTCCAAGCTCTCCTCTGTCTGCTTCTGGGAGCCATGGGAGAGCAACAGGAGGAGGAGACGCTGGCCCTGGCATCAGGGGATCCCTATCTAATTGGGGAAACCAGACTGAGCAGGTTTGAGAGAGCCAGAGATCAGTTCAAGAAAGTTGAGCAAAATTGAGTAGATGACTCAGGGAGATGGGAGGTCAGGGGGAACTGGAGCAATCAGGAAGGCTTCCTGGAGGAAGCAGATGGAACAGGACTGTGGAGGACAGGGTGGTTTATTGAGCCCTAGAGAAGCAGTGTGGCCTTCCAGGGATGCCGTCATCTGGCTCCCAAGCACCCAACTCTGATCTCTCAGATCCCCTAGTAGAAGAAATGGAACAGCCCTAGAGAGGGCTCTAGAAGGTGCTGTTGAGCAGGCAGAAGAAACAGAAACTTTCCTGACCCAGAGGGAGCAAGCACCTGATCTTGTTGGGGATGAGCGACTGGCAGGAATGCTTGGGGCTACAGAGAGAGAAAGGGTCACTGTGATCCAAGACTCTGGGCCTCCCGTCTGTGATGCCCCCGGTGGGGCAGGCCATGAGGAGGACTGTGGCTGTCACTTCTAGACCCCTGACTGCCCCACTCCACCCTGACTGCCCCACTCCTGTTCCGGGGTTGGCCCAGACCCATGGCGTGCAGACTCCGCTGTTTTACCATTGGCAGCTAGAGCGAAAGCTCTGCAGACTTCCGAGAAGGATGATTTGACAATATGTTAACAAGTTTTGTTTTTAAACAACCACAAACAAGGGCAGCCAGAGCCACTTAGTCTGGGCTGTGGAGGAAAAACTCAGCTTGGCATACGTGGGGAGGAGTTTTGGCAAGCAAAGATGCATCTAATCAGGGTAGGCAGCCAAGCAGTGTTAAAAAAAAATGTCGATGATATACTGAGAAAAGAAGTCTCAGTGTGTTATTTCAAGTTATAAACTTGTTTAACAGAAAGCAGACTATATATCCCTTCCAAATTACTGAAAGAAAACATAGATCTTACAGTAAAAGATAGGGGAAAAAAATAAGCAACAAGGAAGCATTAAATCAGAAAACATAAAGTAATATGGCAGAGGCAAGATCAAACATGTGTTTTAAAAAAAAATAAGCAACAAGGAAGCATTAAATCAGAAAGTAATATGGCAGAGGCAAGATCAAACATGTGTTTTAATAATAAATGTAACTGGATAAAATTCATCTTTTAAAAGAAAAGGACTCTGAATGGATTTTTTTAAAAAGCTTCAGCTATTGCTCTCGAATGACAGTCCTGGAACACTGTGACTCAGAAATATTAAAAGTGAAATAATAAGGTATTTCAGGCAAATGAAAACAATGACAACCAAAACCAGAGTGCTTTTGTTATCGCTTCTCGGCCTTTTGGCTAAGATCAAGTGCAGAGTGCTTTTGTTTGTTAATATTAAACAAGGTTGAGTTCAAGGTAAAAAGCTTGAGATATAAAACAAAAAGGACTCCTATTAGTTATTGACAAAGCAAAGAGAAAGAACAAGACAATAGGAAATCTAAAATATATATACATATATATAATTACTAAATCTGATCTAATAATAATAATAGCTAACACTTAAATAGTGAGTCAGACTCTGTTGCAAACGTGTTACAAACATTAATTCATTTAATTCTCACCATAGGTATTATAAAGCCCATCTTACAGATAAGGAAACTGCTAGATATAGCAAAAAAGAAAGATTAAAAACAAACCCTTAGAAATGTAAAGGTCATTGTAAAATAAACCTTGGGGTAAACAAAAGCTATTTTGCTGGTAGATTCATGGGTGTTGATTATATTAATAACTAGGCAAATAAATAAAATAGACTATACATGGACCAGAGATGACAGTGTGCTATAAATCACACATTGTGACTCAACCAGTTATGTCCACCTGAAATCTAGAAAAATAAGAAATGAAAAATAGAGGTAGATAATATTGCATGTGAGATTCAGCCAAAGCTGAAATAAGAATAAAATTCAGAGACTTAAACAATTTTGTTATTTAATAGACAGAATGTAAACTAATTACTTAACTCAATAAATTAGAAATATAAAAGCAAAGTAATCTTAAGAAAAGCAAAGGAAGTGATTAATAAAATAAAGACATAAATTAATAAATTAGCAAATAAATAAAAAGCAAGACTGATAAAATTTCAGAGTAAAACAAACAAAGAGAAAACCTCACATCTCCAAGAGTGGAAATCTTTCACATTCTCAAGGAAGAAAATAATTCCAGTCCTATTTAAAATATTCTAGTATATGAAAACAAATGGAAAGTCTACAAATTATTTTTATGAACACTAAATAATGCTGATTTTTAACAGCCTAAGCATACCAAAAGGAAAATTATAGACCAGTTTTCATATTCCATACTTATAGTGATGCAAAAATCCTAAAATATATGCAAATAGGATCCAGCAATATATTTAAAAGATTAAGTATATCATAGTTAGATATACATCAAAATGATACCACATTAGAAAATCTATTTATACAATTAGGACAAAGATAAGAAATTATCTCAACAAATTCCTGATTTTTAAAACTTTTTCTGTCAAGAACAGAAATAAAATAGATTTCCTTAATTTAGTGAAAAACACTCTCAAATTAACTTCTGTCATCATCATTAGCAGTAAAACACTTGAACATTTTTATTAAAGTCAGAAATAAGAAAAATGATGATTTAATTACTTTTTAGTTGTTGTTCATTACTTAATAGTAATCTTGAAGTACTAGCCACTGCAAATAGTGAGGAAAATTAAGCATACAGTAAAAATAAATAGAAATGTATCATTACTTTTAGATAATGATTGCATAGAAAAATGTTAAAATTTATTAAAAGCATTATATGGCCAATCATAAAATATATAAAGAATTGTTGCTATTGTCGTTGTATACTAACAGAAACCTTTTAGTCACAGGTAACATTTCTCAAATATTCCTAACATGCCAGGCATTATAAACAAAATAACTTGGAATAAATATAACATAATATGTACTAGTGGCCCGGTGCACGAAATTCGTGCACGGGGCGGGGGGGAGGTAGTTATCCCTCAGCCCAGCCTGCACCCTCTCCAATCTGGGACCCCTCCAGGGATGTCTGACTGCCGGTTTAGGCCCGATCCCTGAACCGGCAGTCGGACATTCTTCTCACAATCCAGGACTGCTGGCTCCTAACCACTCGCCTGCTGCCTGCCTGATTGCCCCTAACCACTTCTGCCTGCCAGCCTGATCACCCCCTAACTGCTCCCCTGCTGTCCTGATCACCCCCAACTGCCCTCCCCTGCTGGCCTGATCACCCCCAAGGCTTTTATTAGTATAGATAAGAGGCCCATGAAGAAAACTTCAAAACTTTGCTAAGGAATGTAGAAGGAGGCAAATAGGTAAGTATGCTATAAATATATGCTAGTTTTGGGTAGGAAGGCTGTGTAACAGTTAATAAATTTAATGCAATAACAATAAATTTCCAACATCTTTAAGGGAATTTGCAAAAATGTTGCCAAATTTTATCTTGAAAATTACTAAAAATGACCAGGAAAATTTATATAATACTAATTCAAGTACAGGTAGAGAATAGAATCACATAGAGAGGTCTGAAATTAAGGGTAGTATATGATAAAGGTAACTTCTGTGGATTGTGAAGTGGATTCTTAAATAAAGTATTGGGACAGTTGACCAGTCACTCCGAAAAATATATTAAAATGTTTGCTCTTTACCAGAATTAGATTTTTTAAATTGTAATATAATATACCCTCGATTTTGCGGACCTCGATTTAACAGACTTTCGATTTAACGGAAATAATTTCCAGTCCATATGTCGTATGTGAAAATGAATACCCTGTTAATTTTTAAATGCTTTTAACCAATATTTGTTTATAATTAAATTAACAGGTTATTTTTTTGTTATTAATTCGCTGTTATTTTTAACAAATTTCAGCAAATAGGCCATATGTTAGAAAAAACACTGTAGTAATTTCACCAACATAAATAAATATTACATACCGACAGCTATCGTCTGCATATTTAAAGCCAAGAGTCACTGCTGTAAATGAATGACTAGCACGTGGTCAATCCACCCGGAGCACAGGGATGGGTTGTGTGGTCACGTGGTGTGACTTTCTGCAGTAGTTTTAACCGTGCTGTGTGCTAAGCCACACCCCCGCTGTGTGCTAAGCCACGCCCCAGCTGTGTGCTAAGCCACACCCCCGCTGTGTGCTAAGTCACGCCCCAGCCGTGTGCATTTGTTTACTCTCAGTGACCCGGGAATGCAGGCATTTGCTAGACCTATTCTGTATACATTTTAAACTACTGTAATAAATATAGAAAACTTTCCTGTGAAATTTAACTTTTTCATGTGTACCTAATTTTAAGTACACACATTTG